TTTCTTTATTCCAGTGATTATTTTTCAGGCTGGACTACACATTATAATAACCTGAGAGCTTGTAAAAAATTTCCACTGTGCAGCCTCCAACCCCAGAGATTCACTAAGTCCATTGGAGTCCGAACTTTAGTAATTTGTAAAATTCCCCAAGTGGCTCTAATACGCAGTTTGAGAACTGCTGCTTCACTCTGTGTGCAGAGTGCCCATGTACTCAGGGGATTCAAAAACTTACAAAAGCCTATTCATGGCTCTTCTGACTAAAGGTCTTGCAATGGTAGAAAGCTAGTCCCTTGATGGTCACCAAGCCTTTGCTGTGGTCAGGCTTAATGAGATACTCAGACTTGTTATACTGTTGTCTTGTTGATAAAAAATATGTTTTAGCTTCTGGACATCTAACTTTGCAAATCAGTGTCAGGTAGAGAAAAGATCCTATCAGTTAAAAGCAGCACATTCCATAAATTTAAAGGTCAAAGAGCTACATGGAAATTAGCTTTCAGCTATTGCAATACACCATCTTAGGACAAAAAACATGGCATTATGTCCCACCAGCTATGGCCATATATAAATTAGTCCTTTAGAGGTACTGATGCTGGTATCTCAAGTGCTAACTGATTATCAAGGTAGTATAATGGGGCCCTGGTAAATGCAGGAACAGGTTCTATTTTAAGGACAGGGTCATAATGGCTCCTATTTGTGGAATGTCTACTTTATGACGGCCACTACACTGCCAGTTACTTAGTTTACCACAAATTCTCACAACAACCTGTAAGTAGGGGACTCAGGCTCATAAAAGAAAGGGAATTTATCCAGGATAGCACAGTTGCAAGTGCTGGAGCTGGAATTCCGTGCCGGACTGTCTGTGCAAAAACTCTCCCAACTGAATACTGCACACTCCTTATCATCAGTGACACAGTGCACAGGGAGCAGGGTTGTCCCCAGTGTAGGAGAATCTGTCCCTGGACCATTGCCCACATTGAGTATTACTTTCTTTTTAAAGTGTATTGCTGATTTAATAAGTGAAATATGCTGGCTCATGTTAATTTGCTTTGTTTTCAGATGTTGGTTCTATTCGGTTTCCTTATTTCTGAATCCTCTGACTCCAGTGCATTGTCTTGGGGGTAATTCAAAAGACAAGGATGGGCTGGTGTGTTTCTCTGAATTATTAGTCTTGGGAAGGGGGAGGGAATAATAAGCTTTTGAGCACTGATTTTAGTATTTATCTATATACCCATCAGCAGGGGAGAGGACAAATTCCCAGTCATCCTCACCCAAGAGATTATAAAGCATGTTTTGTTTCCTTTTTTACCATTTATTTTTTTCTTCAAAAACCTCTGACTCCTAACTATTTTGCGTCTGGGAGTAAAACTAAGCTCACTGGCAAAATGTCTGTTTTGATTAATCGGGAACAGAAAGAACCAAACGAATGACTTCCACAATGGAAGGTGCCCTGGGAAATACCACATGGGATTGTGGGGTCAGGGCATGTTTGCTGTGGTTGTGTGTGTCCATCCGAGGGGGAGTATAAATAGTTTTCTTTACACAAGAGGATCCAGGGAATAGTGAATCAGAGAATAATTGACTTGTCTTGGTGTGTTTGTGAATGTTCATTTTCATCTGATAGCACATATGCTATTGGCCTTTGAGTCAGTCACCAACCATAAAAAGGCCTCAGCCTCCTGTGCACCAAGTAGAGTGCCCCCTCCCGCTCCCCCAAAGAAAACATTTCGAATTAGCATTAATCAGCCCATGTTGTATTTTAGACCATATGAGAAAGCCCCCTACTGCAGCTGAATGCCATTCAGCAGGCAAGAAGTGATTTGCAATATAATTTAAATTAAGAGTTGGTTTCTTTTCCCATTTAGAACACACCAGTATGGAAAACTGATTGTCAGACATTCTGATGATGTGCATCAACTTGGCTATTCACTCAGAAAATGAAGTTTCCTGAGACACCGGCACATTTAATTTATTTTTTTTTCCCTGTGAAGTTAACTTCAGCCTGTTAAATACAATGACTATCCAAACCACAGAAAAATGAACACCATTAATTTTAATGCTCATAAAGTAATGGAAGGAGATTATATTCATTGGGGAATTTTTTTCCCTTTTAATAGAATGTTTACTTGCCCCTTTCCTTATGAGTTAATTATTATTTTCCTTCCATAATAATTCTGTTTATATCTGAGCAGCCAAACTGTGTGTCTGTTAATGTCTTGAGTTTATGAATCGCTGGTGAGTCTATCATTTTGCAGTGTCTGCCTCTAGAACACCAATAGCATGGCAGTGTGGTGAGTGAATATGTGGTGATAGGAATGCAATGGGTCCCTTACAGAACCCTCTCATCTATTTTTATAAAATATTTAGTTTTAGCAATGTTTCTCTTCCATGCTTTGATTGGGAGATTGAATGACTTTTCAGTGAATTACTTATACTGAGTTAAGAATTGGTAACTTTTCCTCTCTTATCATCTGGGCATTTATTTCTAATTCATCTGTTCATTTAATGAGTACCTAGCACCTAAGTTATGCCAGTAGTATGCTAAGTATTAGGGATTAAAAATAATTAAGACAGTCCACCTCTAAAGAGACCCCATAGTTCTGAGCAGGAATTACAAGGGATTGCAGGACTGTGAGATTTGTGGTACAAGCAAACTGGGCAGAAGGTAGCAGAGGGTGTTATGGAGGGAGCTCTCCTGGGACCCAGGGCTGTCGAAGAAGGCTTTTCAGAGCAGGAGATGCTAGAGCTAGATCTTGGAGACCTAGGCCTTGAGTTCCTCAAGTTAGCAGTAAAATGATGGGTGAGAGTGGAAAAAGGCAGTACAGGCAAAGGGAATAAATGGTGAAGGCAAAGTTGTGAAGCAAGCCTTTTGTTGGAAACCTACTATATGCTATTTAAAGAAAAACAACATAAGCTGACACTGAAGTGCTCACCATTTGCCATGCACGATTTCAAATACTCCTATCTACAAACTCAATTAAGCCTTATAATGACTCTTGAAGTTGTTATTATCAGCATCCCCTTTTACAAATTAAAATCAATGCCTGGAGAGATTTGGTAACTATATCACACAGCCAGTATGATCAAGACCAAGGCTGGAACCCAGGTTCTTTGACTCCAAAGCCTACAGGTTTAAATATTATGCTCCTGGCCTCTTTGCCCTTTCGAGACTTCAGTCCAGCAGTGCAGAAAGGCATGCTAATAGTGACTGACACTCATGATTATGTCTAAGTGGGGATAATAACAGTACTTATTACATGTGGAGAGGATAAAGTGAGATATAAAATACATGAAGTGCTTAGAACATGCCTGGTACATAGTAAAGCATTTGTTAACTGCTGGTATTATGATAATTCATGTCTTAAAAGCAGTAGAGCCCAGTAATACCTAGAAATTCAAACCATTTAAGGTTAGTTTACTGCAGAGGGCATTGGTCAGGAAACACGTGGAGTTGGTAGCATTTGATACAGATTTGTCTGGCTTAATAGTAGCATTACTATAGCTAAGACTTGGGGGCGGGGGAGTATTTTAGCAAGAGAATGGAATGCAGAAATGCAAGCAGACTGGAAAATTCCATCATGTTTGAGAAAAGTAAAACATTTGATGAAAGTGTAGTGTCTATAAAGAGAAGCAGGGGGAGTAAAATCAAATAGGTAAATAGAAATTGTTTACAACTAATGATTTTTGTTGAGTGTTTGGCATTGTGAATATTTTGTATTATTTACCGATTATAAACATTTTCCTGGGGCTATAGACTCATTTTTTTTCCATTTGAAGAAAATGAAGTTCAGAGAAGTGATATAACTTGCTTCAGGTCATCCTGCTCAAGGGTGGTAGAGCTTGGTCTTGGATGCGGGTCGGTGTTAAAGTGCCATGCTCATTCGGCCACACCGCAGTTTCATTGCTCTAGCTCTGACCTTTCTAACACCTCATGAATACGTATAGAATAATTTTTCTAGGGAAAGGTGGAGGAAAAAACAAGTAAGAAAAATGTGTCAACATGTTCTTCTTAGACTTCAGCTTATCAATCACTATACCTTAACATTTTCCCAGTTAACAGCCTGTGTCTGCTTCCATTAGGATGGAAAGAACTGGTCTCTGATTCCCTATGCACCCCTCTCCCTTAGATTTCCTATTTGTGTGTACCTGTTATAAAACATACCATAGGTAAGATTCTGTCTCCTGTAATAAGAGTCAGTGGTTAAGAGTCTGGGCTTTGAAGAACTTCCAGATGCCAGGGCTGGAACCCCAGGTCTGCTCTTCATAGTTACAATCCCAAACATGATTAAGTGCTCTGTGTTTCTGTTTCCTTATATGTTTAATGATAAGAATAGTACCCATATCAGCGTGTTGCTCCTAGGAATAAATGGATTAATACATATAAAAACTGAAAAACATACTTAAAATGTTATGATCATTCATGAAATATTAACATTGTTATTGCCTTTAATATACCTTATATCCCACGTCTGCCCAAATGAAGAACTATGATAATAGGCTCTGTTGGTGAGGGTGTGGGCAAGTTGTCCTTTCCTACATCGCTGAAAAGAGTGTAAAATTGTACATCGTTTGCAGATAACAATATCAAAATTTTAAATGTTTTCTTTACCCAGTAATTCCACTTCTCTGTATTTAGCCTACAGATAGATTCACACAAGTGAAAAATGTATAACTTGTACTTTCTGAATTTTAGCCAGTGTAGGTACAATCTAGTTCACATTTTAAAAATACAGGTTTAATGAATGTTTTGTGCTTTGTGCCCTCCACATGGTCTAGCGTAACAGTAGGCACAGCAACACTGACAAATTTCCTTTTGTTTAGCCTGACACTAAGCCCCTGGGTGTCTGTGCCCCAGGCCCACCTACATGCCCCCCCATGTGTACTTTAGGAGGATGCCTCACCCTGAGCCACAAACTCTGCGCCCCACTGTGACAACGTTGTGTTTCATCCTTCTTGCTCCATTGGTTTGTTTTCAGAATTGACATATACTTCTTTCATGACAGCTATGTCCTTGGCTTCTCTCGATGAGGATTCCTGACTTGTGGCCCTGGCAATCTTGGGAAAACAACATCCAATTTCTTCAGTCTAGAGCCTGGGGCCTCCTTTTCCCCGGTGTCACCTCCACCCAGCCTGGAAGCATTGACTGAACCATTTTCTAGGACACGTAAGTAAAATGCTTTACTCTTTCATAAAAATGGTTCAAACCATCCTCTCCCCACCACCAGATCCTTCATTTTTGAGTGTGATTTTGTTTCTCTCAAATGCTGTTTAAATTATTTTCCTTCCTAGAACTGCCTGTCCTACAGTTAATATTCTCAGGTTCATTATTTGTTTAATCACTGACTTATTCAAGGAGGTGATAGCCAGTAGAATCTGAGAACTGAAAGGCACTAGCCTTTGTTCACTTCCTGTGTGGCTCCATTCAGGGTTACTTGTCTCTGACTTAGATTGGAGACTAAATGGATTAGAATAAAACCAATTTCATGGAAAAAAGAAACGTTCACAGACACAGAAATAGAGATTCCTTCTATCTGACTGCCTAAGATCTGCAGGCCTCACCAAGGAATTTAAAAAGTAATGCTTCTTATCATAAGTGACAGAAATATGCTGCTTTCTACATCAGTAGATATGAAGATTAAAGGGTCTGACCATATTAAACAATTTGCACAGCACCAGGCACTCTGGGCTCTGCTCTGCCTTATTACCCTTCATCTTGTGGCTATTTCAGGCCCAATTTAAGACTACAATGCAGTCTGGCTTTGCAGATTGACATCTTTTACTTTAAACTGTCTTATGGGAAAATTAAGAAATTACGGGACAATTATTTGCTCTCAGTTGAAAGCTGGATGGCATCCTGAGATCCCTGTATATCAGCCATTTGAATTGCATGAATCACATAAATGAATTACACATTTGCTCCCTTAATACCTTGTTGCAAATATGTTGATATTTTATATAGGGAAAATGCTTTCATAAAAATAGAGTAGGGGTTGTGTTGGAGATTGACCTGGGCGTCGATGAAAACCACAGAGTGGGCTGACCCTTGGAGATCTTGCATGGGAGGTTGATTAACAGACTGGTGTTCCATCTGGAGTTTCAAATGTAAGTTCACAGAATGGAACTGTGTACCCGATATGGAGAAGGACACATTCCCCTGTTCCCCTTGGTACTGACCTTCAAAGTTTAGCTTAAGAATCTATCACTCATTTTCAAAGCCTTTTTTAACATTCCCCATGAACCAAACTGGTGGGTTTGGTGTACCTTCCTTTGTCGCCCGCATTTCCCTGCCGTGCCTCCTGCAATGGTGCATCTCCCTCAGCTGGTGGTGTGGCTGAGTGAGGAACCATTGTCCTACTCAGCTAGCACGATCGTACTGCTCAGCAAGTGTTTGATGGGGGAAGTTTTATATTTGTAAGTCTCAGTGGTTTAGTTTCTAAACTCTATTTTCTCTTGTAGTAAGGGAATCAGAAGAGGTGGTGTCTATAATCTTTAAATCATCATAATTAAGTAGGGGTTTGCCCCTTTTGTCCAAGACAAAAAGAAAAAGATTTATTAAATGCTAAGTCTATCCATTTAACAAATGTTTTTTAGGCACCTGTTATATACAAAAGCTAGGTAGGTGCTGAGAAGAAAAATGGCCAAAAAATATTTCCTGTTCTTTAGAGGATTTCAAAATCCAGTTGGGATTGGAGAGGTCAGTTCAGGAAATAGCCCTAGTGACTGAAAGAGCAAGCCAGAAACTGTTGAATAGTCTAGGACTATGACAAGTGTCTGTGGTACATATATTTCATTCCTCGCTAAAGTTTTACTGCCCTTGGTCTGCCCTGCTCCCCGCACCCTCCTACATCATCCATTTTGGAACCCAGCAGAGAAGAAAAATCTTAGACTAATGTCCTGTGGTCAAGCTGGATGTGTGCCTTTCATTTGAAAACTCCTACAAAGGAGATAGATTTTCAAGCACTGTTTCCCCGTCTCACTCCCCATCCCAGTTTCCAGCTCTTCACCATAGTACACAGCTTTCTGGGTCTTTATATCCTTTGTCTAGTCTGTGTGGCACCTCAACTCTCTTTTTTAAAAGCTCTTTACCTTTTCTTTGCCTTCATCAAAGAATGCTCTCAGAACTTTCAAACCCAACTACAGCAATCCTGAATATTTCTGTGTGGAAGGGATTAATCAAGTCTGTCAAACATTGAGCTGGAAAACCTTTAATATTTCTAAAAGGTTTAAAGCTGACATATTTATCACATGCATCATTGAGAATAGTCTTTCTTTTTATAAAAAAAAAAGAAGTTAAATGCTCACTGTGAAATATTGTCGTAATGAGCACAGTGGGTGAAAGGCTCACACAGTGGCCCAGTTGTGATACTGGAATGGATGTTCTGGTAAAATCTTTTTCTGACATCACTCCCCTAGAAGCCACCCATCATTTTCCATACGTCACTTCCTGTGTGGCTCCATTCAGGGTTACTTGTCTCTGACTTAGATTGGAGACTAAATGGATTAGAATAAAACCAATTTCATGGAAAAAAGAAACGTTCACAGACACAGAAATAGAGATTCCTTCTATCTGACTGCCTAAGATCTGCAGGCCTCACCAAGGAATTTAAAAAGTAATGCTTCTTATCATAAGTGACAGAAATATGCTGCTTTCTACATCAGTAGATATGAAGATTAAAGGGTCTGACCATATTAAACAATTTGCACAGCACCAGGCACTCTGGGCTCTGCTCTGCCTTATTACCCTTCATCTTGTGGCTATTTCAGGCCCAATTTAAGACTACAATGCAGTCTGGCTTTGCAGATTGACATCTTTTACTTTAAACTGTCTTATGGGAAAATTAAGAAATTACGGGACAATTATTTGCTCTCAGTTGAAAGCTGGATGGCATCCTGAGATCCCTGTATATCAGCCATTTGAATTGCATGAATCACATAAATGAATTACACATTTGCTCCCTTAATACCTTGTTGCAAATATGTTGATATTTTATATAGGGAAAATGCTTTCATAAAAATAGAGTAGGGGTTGTGTTGGAGATTGACCTGGGCGTCGATGAAAACCACAGAGTGGGCTGACCCTTGGAGATCTTGCATGGGAGGTTGATTAACAGACTGGTGTTCCATCTGGAGTTTCAAATGTAAGTTCACAGAATGGAACTGTGTACCCGATATGGAGAAGGACACATTCCCCTGTTCCCCTTGGTACTGACCTTCAAAGTTTAGCTTAAGAATCTATCACTCATTTTCAAAGCCTTTTTTAACATTCCCCATGAACCAAACTGGTGGGTTTGGTGTACCTTCCTTTGTCGCCCGCATTTCCCTGCCGTGCCTCCTGCAATGGTGCATCTCCCTCAGCTGGTGGTGTGGCTGAGTGAGGAACCATTGTCCTACTCAGCTAGCACGATCGTACTGCTCAGCAAGTGTTTGATGGGGGAAGTTTTATATTTGTAAGTCTCAGTGGTTTAGTTTCTAAACTCTATTTTCTCTTGTAGTAAGGGAATCAGAAGAGGTGGTGTCTATAATCTTTAAATCATCATAATTAAGTAGGGGTTTGCCCCTTTTGTCCAAGACAAAAAGAAAAAGATTTATTAAATGCTAAGTCTATCCATTTAACAAATGTTTTTTAGGCACCTGTTATATACAAAAGCTAGGTAGGTGCTGAGAAGAAAAATGGCCAAAAAATATTTCCTGTTCTTTAGAGGATTTCAAAATCCAGTTGGGATTGGAGAGGTCAGTTCAGGAAATAGCCCTAGTGACTGAAAGAGCAAGCCAGAAACTGTTGAATAGTCTAGGACTATGACAAGTGTCTGTGGTACATATATTTCATTCCTCGCTAAAGTTTTACTGCCCTTGGTCTGCCCTGCTCCCCGCACCCTCCTACATCATCCATTTTGGAACCCAGCAGAGAAGAAAAATCTTAGACTAATGTCCTGTGGTCAAGCTGGATGTGTGCCTTTCATTTGAAAACTCCTACAAAGGAGATAGATTTTCAAGCACTGTTTCCCCGTCTCACTCCCCATCCCAGTTTCCAGCTCTTCACCATAGTACACAGCTTTCTGGGTCTTTATATCCTTTGTCTAGTCTGTGTGGCACCTCAACTCTCTTTTTTAAAAGCTCTTTACCTTTTCTTTGCCTTCATCAAAGAATGCTCTCAGAACTTTCAAACCCAACTACAGCAATCCTGAATATTTCTGTGTGGAAGGGATTAATCAAGTCTGTCAAACATTGAGCTGGAAAACCTTTAATATTTCTAAAAGGTTTAAAGCTGACATATTTATCACATGCATCATTGAGAATAGTCTTTCTTTTTATAAAAAAAAAGAAGTTAAATGCTCACTGTGAAATATTGTCGTAATGAGCACAGTGGGTGAAAGGCTCACACAGTGGCCCAGTTGTGATACTGGAATGGATGTTCTGGTAAAATCTTTTTCTGACATCACTCCCCTAGAAGCCACCCATCATTTTCCATACGTCTATTTTTATGAATGTTGGATACTGTGGCATTGTAGAATCTTGGTGCTCAGAGGGAAGGGAGAGTAGGAGAAAGGGACTCATTTTTGTTGTGTGCCTGCTATGTGTCAGGTATTGTGTCTGTATGCTCTAAGTGGGTTGTCACATTTTGATTTTCACAACAGTCCTTTACAGTAGTCACTGTCACAGTGGATTCGTAGACAAGGAAACTAAGATTTAAAAAGTGAAGCAATTTTCTCCAGAACACATAAATATTCATTTGCAAATCTAGGACTTGACCCTAAGCTTGTCTAATTCTTTCATTTTCTTGATGTGGCAAATGCCTAGCAAATGCTTAACATAAAGTAACCTCCTGGAGAGGGGTTGCCAGAGTTGTCATGACTGTTAGTGTTAAGGTTCCTGGTGATTTTTAATGAGAGATCTTTATAGACAGAGGCAGTGGAGATCGTTGGGCGTGATTCTGAGAATCTGAGATGTGTGTTTAAGATGCTTAATTCAGCAGTGATGGGAGTATCCTTTAGAGTAGGCTAGGGAGAGACTCCCCCAGAGCCTTTTATTAGTACAACTAATACAAACACTGTATTTCATTATTTATGTATGAAGTGCTTTCACATGCACAGACTAATTTAATTTATTTGTTACATGATATCAGCACTACTGCCATTTCACAGATGGGGAACCAAGGCCCAGGGG